CCCCAAATTATAAAACATAAATTAATGAGGGGCATGTGGAATATCGAGGTTGTAATCTAAACTGAGAATTAATTTCTAGAAGAAATGTTATGATACATTTAATCTATTTGTATTCCCCATTTGTAAAAAAAATTATGACTCTAGAAGTATTTGGGAATGACTAAGCCATCATAAGTTACCTTCTGTCCATATCAAGATACATTCTTTCAGCCTCCTCGAACTTGCCAAAGTAGGCAACAACTTCAGCCTGCTTCATTGAATCACTCTGTAGATTGCCCAAGCGCTTCACAAACTTAATGCCTTGGTAATCTTTGCAGCGCACAAATGCTCGCTTTGCAGTGTACAGGTCCAGTTTCTGAAGAGCTGCTTCAGCTAGTAGGTGCCTTTATTAAAAAAAGAAACAGAAAAGCATATTTCAAATTACTGATAAACTAGTCTTGAATCAGAATTCAATTATTATATCTACTGTTTCTAGTGAAACATGGTGGAAAGTGATTATTTTAACACATGCAAACATTTTTCATATAATATTCTGTTTTTATTGAGGCCTTCCAAATCTAAAATGGGTTTCTCCATTTCAAAAAGAAGAGCAAGAATAGAAGTCTATTTCCATCAGGACACTAGTAGGGGAGCAGGAGATGACAGAGCTGAGACTTTAAAAGCCTACATCTTGGGAGGTTTTGCTTTTTTAAAAATACCAAAGTCGGGGGTGCGGATTATCCTCTATGAATTGAGATGCATCTTCAATTCCAACCTTCTCAATCAGTGCTCGACTGTCTCGCAGGGACCGAATCTCAAAGTTAATTAGATAATCCTTGTTTGGATGTTCTGGATTCTAAAAGTAAAGATGAAAACAAATTTAAATAGTTGCCTTTAGAGTGTTTCTTTTTAACAATTAAAAGCAACACAAAACAAAAAAACTACATCATATTGTGAAGCAAAACTAGGGAAAAAAGAAATCCCTGTGTTTAGGTCTTTTAAGTTACCAGGAAAACATCCAAAACCCACAAGTCAAGTTCCTCCTGAGGCAGTCAGGCTGCCTATGGGGAAGAGTAGACAATGGCAGAAGGGGCCCTGCTTCCCTTGGGTCAAACTGGGTTTTCCCCTTAAATGAGATAACCACATCTCAAACACTCAGCACAATGCCTAGATACACTAGTCACATTATTCATAGTCTCAGAACTGACCTAATGCCCCCCTACTTCAGAGCTCTGAACAGGTATATCTACTGACTGAATCACAGCACCCCCAACTCTTTTTTGGTTTGCTGAATTACTACTAGCCCATCTTCCCAACTCCTCTACCTGAGGCCAGGAACTGTCTTACTGGCTCTCAATTAATATTTTCTGAATCAATGAATAGATGAACTTTGTGTAAATCATTTTACCTACTGAGATCCTTCCTCATCTAAAGAACTTCAGAAAAGTCAATATGATCATCAGGGCAACACCACCACAGGTATTGTCAAGTAGTCTAAAACTTAAGGCAATGGGTAACTATGAGCCTTTCTTGAAAAACACTACTGATGACGAAATCCATGCAACTAAAAGGTTAAAAAAAATTAAAAACTCATGTACAGAGAATATGTAGTAAAAAGACTAGTAACAGCTTTGAATTCATTTAAACAGAAGATTAAACAACTGGAAATTAGTGTTACAAAACAAAATAAAATGTTCTAAATCTTGACAATATAAAACTGATAATATGGCTAAAAAAAGAGAATAAGAGGGAGAAAATGTAAGAATGCCATCTTTTAGAGTGCAAAGTCAATCAATACTATTAAAAATTAAAATGTAGTTTAAACCCCTTAGTTTTTCATAATTT